AGAGAGAGAGAGAGAGAGAGAGAGAGAGAGAGAGAGAGAGAGAGAGAGAGAGAGATGTAGCATAAGTAGGCAGGAGACGTAGCCTTCAAGAAAAATGCTCGCAAAGTTACAAAACCGGTAGTTTCCAGTCACAATTTCGCCTGCAGCAAAGAGAGCGGGAGAGAGTGAGGAGAGGTTCTCCTGCTCTCCCTCTCTCTCTCTCACAGTGTCTGTGGTCTGCACTGGCTTCTCTCAGTTCTCTGGCACCAGCACACCTCATGGCGCAACCACCTCCAAGGGACTGCGTCCCAGGGCGACAAACCGTACACCTCGACCAACTGTCGGGCCACCCACTCCCTAGGCCATGTGATCTCCTTCCCAGTGTCTCACGTGACAGCTTCACTCCTGAGCTGCTTTTGGCAGATGTAAGTAGACTGACCTCCTACTTACACCACAAGGAGTCTGTAGCAAAGGTCATGCCTGCAGTCTGGCTATTTCATCATAACAAACGGGACTCAAATCTCAACCACATATCCCACCTTCTGAACTGTCACGACACGACTGGCGACGAAAAACGAGGTACATGAAAAATAATCCTGATGCTTGAATAATAACCAAGGACGCTGCAACCCCGAGCAACGGCTATCATATTTGCAGTCCTCTTGTCAGTGGCCACTTCCCTGGACCCTTGTTACAACCAGACGGAACCAGTGGGGCAAACAGTGCCAAACAGTGCCAACCACACACAAGGATGATCCTTGACCTCTGCGTCTCAAGGTTCCTTGCCCCTCGTGGGAGATGCCAAACAGTGCCAAACAGTGCCAAACAGTGCCAAACAGTGCCAAACAGTGCCAAACAGTGCCAAAGACACACAAGGATGATGCTTGACCTCTGCGTCTCAAGGTTCCTTGCCCCTCGTGGGAGAACACAGGCATAATGCGAAATCAACCTCACAACAAAAGACCTCTCACTCCCTGCCATATACACAGCCTGACAAATGAGCAGGCCATGTCAGGTCATATACTAAGCAGTGTACTAAGCACAATTGCTGCCGCTGCAAATGTTATCGGGGTTTTTCAGCTGAAAACCAGTCTTGTGACCCCGCTGAGGATCCCGCTCTGTGGGAAGTGGCCAGAATTTTAACCACTCTTGCGACCTCGCTGAGGCTCTCGCTCTGTGGGAAGCGGCCAGAATTTTAAACCCAGCAAAATTCTCCTTGCCACAATCTGCTCCAAGCCTTCAAAAGAAGCCACAGTAGTTTTTTCACCTTCAAAAGAAGCCACAGTAGTTTTTTCACCTTCAAAAGAAAAAGAAGCCACAGTAGTTTTTCACCTTCAAAGGAATCCACAGTAGTTTTTCACCTTACAACCCCTCGCTGAGGCTCGCTCTGCTGGAAGTGGCCGGAGTTTTAAACACAGCAAAATTCTCCTTACCACAATCTGCTGCACGCCTCCAAAAGGAGCGACAGTCTTGGCTGTTGTTTGCCCTCCGAGTCACCGAGTAAGTCCACCAACATAAACGGACTTGAGCTGCACAAGCCAAGTACCCAAAGCACAAAGCGGATGCACAAAGTTAGGAACACACTGTCACCTCATAAACTGCCAACTTGCCAGTGTGCAAGAATGAGAACAAACAACGTCACAACTCCGAGGACTGCTGAGCGCAGTTTTGGCTAAGCAAAGCGACGACTAGTTAGTAAGCGTATAATGTGCTTCTGCATCTGACCTCTTCTATAGCAACTATGCATCTTATGCATCCACGTAACCCGGGAAAAGTTATACATCCCCCCATCCACAAAACCATTGCATTCATTAAATTTCATTTGCCCTCCGAGTCTAACACTTCGGCAGGCCCCAAAATCACTTTTCATCATAATTTTCATGTCAGTTTTGCACCCTGGCTGGGCCAGTGACGCCTGCTGTGCAAGACTGGCCGGGAAAGTGCTTTTCAGGGGTGGGGGCAAATGAATACAAAGGTTTTGTCGCCGGGGGGATTTTTATAACTTGTCCCTAGCCCATCTATGCCCAGATGAAGTGGACGTACTACAGTTGTCAGAGGTCGGACTTCACCTCAGCTAGCAAAGTGCATGGGGAATAAAACGGAATGCAGAATGATCCAAAATACAGACTCTGGCTGGGGTATACCTCAGCGGACTGACTGGACTGGACTGGCTGGTACCGACAGAGGTACCGGCCTGGACTAGACTACCCCGAATACAACACAGGGCTGTGAGAACAGGCCAAGGGGCTGGTCTCACAGGCCAACCAGAGGTCCGCTACACATATATTCCTACCAGGTATCCAGCACGTATATAGCCATAGCACCAGTCTCAGAACCTAAAGCAAGCGATACTCGAGAATATAGAAGAAACTTCAAGGAAGAATCACTGTTAGTGATTAATCATTCTCTAGTTCGCGGACCTTGCCAGACTTCACCTCTGCTTGCAAAAAAAATGAAGCACAGTGTAGCCCCCTCAGTCTGCGAACCGCGGGCTTCTTCGTGGAATGCAAGTAATTTTTTTCCAATCATTGAAATGAATACAATGCGCTTATCTTCAGTCTTCATAGTTGAATGCAAGTCATTGTTTACCAATTATTAATTAAATTTGATTAAAATCAATAAAATGTGCATAGCCTCAGGCGTCAGTTGCTTGTGAATAAAAACCAACTTTTTCTTTTTTGGAGACAAGTACAGAGATGCTACAGAATATGTCAGAATCCCCAGTGTAAGTACACACATCGATTGATCTCGCTTGCACGTAGACATAAATGGGCCTCGGTCCATTGCTCACCCCATGAACAAAAGACAAAAATTATGGCCGTCTATCTGTCCATGCTCTGGCGGCAGATTCGTTCCCATTTGAAATTTGGTGAGTGGTGGAGGGAGGCCCACATATTGCACAAAGTGAATCACGTGAGGTGGTATTACAGATAGTACACTCAAGAGTCGACCCCTTTTCCATGCATTTCATAGCTGTGAGGCTGTGACAGCTATTAATTTAATCGGAATTTCATCCCCGCAATTAGACTGGAGCAGCCCGCAACCATTACCACCCTCAATAGCTGCCAGTGACTGGTCAGTTTTTTTTTTTTTTTTTTTTTTTACGCGTTATTAATCCCTGTGCCCCTGTCACAGGCTGTCAGTGAGCACATTAGTTGCCCCTCGAGCATTATCCAATGTGGAACGCACTGGGCACAGGGATTACTATAATTAACTAACAGTCTAACACTTTTCTTTTTAATTAAAAACGTGGAACGCACCGGGTACTCATAACCCACAGACAGAGATGCCTGTTCTATTCTGGGGGGCGTCATTCCAGTTTCTTTCTTTTTTTTTTTTTTTGGGGGGGGGGGGGTTGAAGAATCATGGGTGGGGGGCCCTGCTTGAGGTAGGGCGGTCGCTCTTTACCAGCAAGCAATTGAATGTCGACTATATTTTTTATTCACTTCGGCCAGGGGTACTCCTTCCCCCCCTCCGGAGTCAGTGGGGGAAGAAAGTTTCTGAGGGCAAACTCACAGCAGAACCTTTGTCAGCAAATGTTTACTTCATTCTGGACAGAAACCCCGTCAGATACGTTTAAGACGGCTTGTGTGGGCACTCCGAGCCTGTGACATGGGACTGTCCTGATACTGCTTTGTCTGGGTACGCCGAGGCTGTGACATGGGACTGTCGCAATACTCGTTCCAAGGGTCTCTCCACACCGGACCGGTTGTCGAAACGAAAAACGTTCAAGTGCATGTTCACACACAATGTGGAAAGATGCATCTGTTCCTATGAATAGCAACAGTTGCATCTCGCCACGTTGTGGGGTAGATGCACTCGTGCTTTGTTCGTTTCCGCAGTGGTGTGGCCAGGCCCCAGCAGTGTTCTTCTACAGTTCTCATCCATCCGTATGTGGGTCATTATAGGGGTCAATATAGGGGTCAATATAGGGGTATAAGGGGCATTGTCAATTTCAGTATGATTCCTTCAGTCAGCGATAACGACCACAGTTCTACTGAAGGTCTACAGTTCTATAACTTCTATCTATCCCATCTGTGAAGTTCTGTCAGCGATTTTATAATGACCATGGAAGACATCCTCCGTTGCATGGCCTTACCTCAAGATACTCGTCGATTGCATACTTAGAAGACTCCCTTCCGAGTCCGGATTGCTTAAATCCACCAAAAGGCGAAACCTGCAATCATCCAAGTTCGAAACACCGACAGCTAAGTTGAGCGTGCACACATGAAACTGTTTTCTTTAGAGAAAAGAAGATATATCGTCAGAGAGAGCTGCCCGGTAAACCGTAGGCAGAGAGGGAGAAAAGGACAACAAATGAGGGGCTGTGACAAACTGTTTCATCGGAAGTTTCACCGACTCGTCAGGAGGCTGAACGGGAGCCTGAACCCTATAAATAAGTAAAAATATCTAATTAGAGATAGAAATTATCATTCTATCTAATTAGAGATTATATATTAATTATTTTCACTTTCAACCCGAAAGAGCCGGACCTCTTACCTCGTTTATGATAACAGGCTCATTCCACCCAACGGAGCCAAACTCCAGTCCTTCCGCAACCCTCCAGCCTCTGGCCATATCCCGAGTGAAAAAGTATGCACCCAAACCTGTTTCCAGAAACATTCAATCACCCACATGTTCCCCGCTCTCCGCGCTCAACCGTCCGTTGGATTCTCGCCGTATCTTGCTCCCTCCCCCCAAATACCAGGGACAAACATATCACACACACAATCCACAAAAGCGTCCAAGTTGGTTATATAACTTATATTCGCACACTCACCAGCATATAGAACTGAAGTCAAGGGCATAGAAAACTCAACAGCATAGAAAACTGAAGTCAACAGCAAAGAAATTAAGGCATAGAAAACTAAAGAAATAATTAGAAATTCACTTTGTTGAAGTTTGTTCACCACAGAGTCACAGACCCAACCACACTCAAAAGCAAACAGGACTAATGGAATAGGAACCCGACTTACAAGTTCAAACTTTAAAGCAAACAGGACTAAGCGAATAGGAAACTGGACTCGAAAGCAAACAGGACACTAAGGGAATAGGAACCGGACTCAAAAGCAAACAGGACTAAGGGATTAGGCAAAGCAAACAGGACTAAGGGAATAGGAACCGGACTCAAAAGCAAACAGGACTATGGGATTATGAACCAGACTTATAAGCAAACAGGACTAGTAGGGGAATAGCAACCGGACTCAAAAGCAAACAGGACTGATGGAATAGTCAGCGGACTCCAAAGCACACAGGACTAATGAAATAGGAACTGCCATACGGTAACTCGAAAGCAAACTGGACTCGAAAGCAAACTGGACTCGAAAGCAAACCGGACTAATGGAATAGGAACCAGTAGGGACCAGACTGATGCTCCCCGAATACTAGCTCAAGTGCAAACTAATGGAATACAATCCTAGTTCCCCTGCCGTCTTCAAATCGAAGAGAACGCCCCAGGTCATTGTCGCGATCTCTAGACTGAAGGCTGGTCCAAATGCGGATAGCAAAAATATGTATCTTTCGTTGCATCTTTAGAGGTACCGGTACTTTCAAAGCAAAAATATTTGCAGGCGGGGTCCCACTTTCCTTGCAAAAGGAGATCTTTTTTCGGATTCGGACCTGTACAACATTTCTGCTCCCAAGCTTTGAAAACGCGCTATTTTCTACCGCCTTAATCCAAAAACAACGGGCTATTTCTACCGTCTTAACCCGAGTACAACCTAGGGTCACTATAGCAGTATTTTGGGCGACTTGCCAACTTCTACTAGATACAGCCGTACTGACCATGAGTTGAATGCGGGAGAAGATGGCAGCTCTATGTTTTTTTTTTCCTACATTCATGATGTGACTGACTTCTGGCAGACGAGTGTATCTTCACACAGAACGTGGACAGGTTCATCGGCTTGCTATAAATAGTAACGAGTGTATTTCTCCACCTTTCGTGGGCAGATGCACACTCATTTTGTTTCCGTTTCGTTTACCGTTTGGCGAGGCCCTTCTGGCTTGCGGCGGCTTCTCACTCCAATCCCTGACAGATCTCTGAGAGAACCAAAGCCTGTCATGCCATGACTCACCTTGAACTACCATCTTCACCCAAATCCAATGTACCATCATTATTGCTGTATCTAGCCCCAAGTAGCTGGTGTACCAATAGGCCCTTCTGAGGGGGTTATCCCTTGATGGTGACAATGACGATTGACGATGACGATGGCAATGATATGACGAGATTCTTTGATCAGAACTACTGGTGGTAATAAAATATTAATAATTACAATTATGATCATTACGACGATGATAATGATAATGATGATGATAATGATAATGATTTGTGCACCAGGACTGCTTATGTTAGCTTCCGGACTTAAAAATACCGAAGCATTTGACAGATTGAAACCTAACAACATGTAACCGAAGTTCCGGAACAACTACCAAATCTTAGGCAGGTCTACACCAGAGAACTCGTAGAAGAAAAAAGTTGCAATTCATTGATTAAATTTTGATTGACAGATTTGATCAAAGATTGGCTGGAGTGGCAGACCGAAGAAGCTGTGCACAGGAAATTGCCTCAAAAAAAGAAGGGCAAATTTCAGAAATACCGGTTCCGGGAAGTATCATAGCAGAAGTACCCGTCTGCCCTTGTATTGCAACAAATATGCCGGCAGTTCTTTCTTTCGCGCCAAATACACCAGTAGCAGCTCCTTTTGAAACAGACGACCCGCCTGCCTTGGGGGCTCGCCGGACGGTGCGCTACACGAAAAAACAAAAAAACTACTTCATTTTGCGAACATTTCGCTGCACAGCATCGTGGCGGATCCTGTCAGTGAAAACTCACGAGTGATGTCAGACTCTCAAGTTCCCGACTGTGAGCACGAGCCGCTGCCGTCCCCGCCTGTAAACTCCTATCTGTTCAGGAGTCAAAACATTTCCAACAGCTGGTTCGTAGGAACGAGAAGTATGGAATATGTTTGGTGTGTATTTTTCCAACCATCCTGATTTACGTCCTATATTAACAGATTATGTTTTCAGGGTCATCTGGTATGACAACACTTTCCTGCGAGGCTTTTAAATGAATGGGAGAATTGACTTGAGAGAAGTCAATTGTCAGTGTTTTGAACTTTTGTTCCATTTGTTGACACAAGACCCGCTTTCCCGGTTTGTTTGCAATTTTGGTGCGCACCGTGTAATCATATCATTTATACACGACTCTCCAATATTGGTGTACTTGGCCCCAAACTAATACTACGTAATTCCTGTTGTTTCAAGAAATCGCGGCAACTCGTTGGTCCTCCCTCCAAAGGTTTTGCTGGTGGAGCTGCGAACCCGCACGAGGGCAGCACGTCGATCCAAAGAGTGTCCGTCCAAAAAACATGGACATTTGCGCATGTCCGGCCCCGCACAAACTCCTCAGGCCGTTTTCCACGAGTGATTTCGCGTCTGCTGTGCGGCCGTGGTGTAACATACAAAATGAAACGGTGATTTTCGGCCTCAGGAGCTTCAAGGTCGTTTCGTTGCATTTCTTGCACCGTCCGGCAAGGCCCTTGGAGTGCTTGCCTCAGGCCGAGCGTACGAGGTCTCTGTCATGAAAGGATATACCCACACCGGTGAATATGCTCCGAAACTTTGCGAAAACGGGACTCCTGCAACTGGCAAGGTTTATTTGTGGTCAATGGTCATACAGGGGCGGGCCGGTATTTTTGCTACGATACTTTTGGAACCGGTATTTCTGCAATGTGCCCGAAAAACTTGGAAAAACATGCATGCGAACACACAACTCCAGAAGAGTCTCAGTAGGCATCGAGAACCTTTGGCCTACCACCGAAAAAGGTGGACGCCTAAACTAACAGCTGAAGTGAGGTAGCGTGAACACTGATGCACGTTGAAACATGGAACTGAGGGGCCACAGAAATCGGACTGAGCAAATTTATAGCACTCACCGTATTCTGTGTCGTGTGCAATCTTCATGACTTCTTCTTCTGTGTGGAACCGATGCAAAGCCGCAACAGGGCCAAAAATCTCCTCACTGGCAAGACAAAAAAATGTCAAATATCTTTTCATTTTTCATTTTTTATTTTTATTTTTATTTTAAGAATAGCCTTTGCGTAACAACGGAATTGCAAGAGTGAACATCAATCCATCAAAGCCAATACCGCTGCAGCCTAACAGTATAAAAACAAATAGAAAACAAACGCACCTCTTCACACACACACACACAGAGAGAGAGAGAGAGAGAGAGAGAGAGAGAGAGAGAGAGAGAGAGAGAGAGAGAGAGAGAGAGAGAGAGAGAGAG